GAGACCGCGCTGCGCTTCGTCGTCGTCATCCTCGTCGTCGTCGTCGTCGGCGTCGTCGTCGTCGTCGGCGTCGTCGGCGTCATCCTCGTCGTCGTCGTCGTCATCCTCGTCGTCGTCGTCGTCCTCGTCGTCGTGTTCGTCGTCGTCGGCGTCTGCGTCATCCTCGTCGTCGTCGTCGTCGTCGTCATCCTCGTCGTCGTCGTCGTCGTCATCCTCGTCGTCGTCGTCGTCGTCGCACTGTCGCAGCGTCGTCGTCGTCGCCGCGTCGTTGCCGCCAGGGGGGGCGGTGGTCACCACGGAGGTTGAGAGAGGGTGAAGGGGAGACAGGAGGGAAGGGAGGGAGGGAGGAGAGGAGGGAGGAGGGGAGGGAGGAGAGTGGAGGGAGGAGAGGGAGAGGTTGAGAGAGGAGGAGGAGGGAGGGAGGGAGGAAGGAAAGAAGGAGGTGGACGGAGGGAGGAGAGGAGGGGAGGGAGGAGGGTGAGAAGGTGAAGGGAGGGAGAAAAGGAGGGGAGGGAGGGAGAGGGAGAGATCGAGTCAGAAGAAAACGGCATAAGCATAAACTTTTGGCGCTCCGCGCGGATTTCTTGGATCCGCGCCGGGGACCAAAGAAATTTGTGCGGAGCGCCAGAAGTTTGTGTTTATGGCTTTTCTTCTGGAGAGAGGAGGTGGAGGTCAACGCCAGCTGCGTTCGCGCTAAGTCGGGCAGCCTGCCCCTTTCGTCCCTTGCCATGGCGCTGACTTTCCCATCTGCCCGCAAAGGGGTGCCATCGAACACCTGGGCAGGGCCTCATCGTTCACCGAGCGCGTTCCACTGCTCGCGCCGTGCCTACTGGCAAAGGTCCTGACAACAAACGCCTGCCTCGGTGTAATGGATCGCAAATCCCCCTCGGCGGATCCGGGCCGCTTGCGAGTATTTACTTTGCGAGTATTGGATTTGGACGCCCGAAATGGGTACGGAAAGAATGGGTACAATGCCCAACAGCAGCAGATGTTGTCCCAAACCAACAGCGGCCGCTGTTGGGCAGGCGGCCTCCTGTCTCGAATGGACACAGGCCGCGGCGGCGCGGACAACAAGTCCTGTTCAAGACGAACAGGAACTGCTGTTGGGCATTGTAGCCATTCTTTCCGTACCCATTTCGGGCGTCCAAAGTGGAACGCGATTGTTTCGAATCGTGTTCAGCGCAATCTGAAAAGGGGGCTGTGTATAATTGGAGGAGGAGGAGGGGGCGGATGAGCACGAGGACGGCGAGGAGGAAGAGCAGGAGGAGGAGGAGGAGGAGGAGGAGGAGGAGGAGGAGGGAGGGGGAGGAGAAGGATGATTAGGAGGAGGAGGAGGAGGAGGAGGAGGAGGAGGACTGGGAACGAGAAGGGATTGCAGCAGGAGGAGCAGGAGAAGCGGGAGGAGCAGGGGACGGCGGGGGAGGGGAAACGAAGGGGGCGGCGACGATGAGGAATCCTTCGGGCCCAGGGATGTGGCCCGCACCGGGGCGAGACCGCCGTTCGTAACGACGGGATGAAGACGTCGTTCCTAGACTTAAGTCGGGCGTGTCCCCCTACAGGGAGATTTTCGACGAAAAGTAAAACATATGCAACACATCTGCAAAATGGCCAACAAATATTAGAAAATGTCTCCAGATTATTTGTTTGACTATTTTCGAAGATTTTCCCCTGTAGAGGGACAGGCCCGACTTAATCCTAGACTGGCCACCGCTGCAGCTGGGGCACCACTTTGCAAGACCGAGGCATGCGGACCGGAAGATTGTCCTGGCGAAGGGCGCAACAGACGAATTTGTCAGTAGCGCTGTCGCGAGAGATGCCTTCGGTGGAGCTCCCCAGGGGGCCACGAGGCGTGTGGGGGGTGTGCCGACGCGAGTGTGGCGAGCGCATGTGGCCGCGCCCACTGGGGCCTCGGGTGGAGTTTGCTGTTGGGCCACGAAGCGTGTGAGGGATGTGGCAGCATGTGTCGGGCGGACGCATGTGGACCCTCCCACCGGGGCCTCGGGTGGAACTCCCGCGAAGGCATGCGAGGGGCGTGCCAGCACGTGCTGGGCGGACGCAGGTCGACCCTCCCACCGGGGCCCTCGGGTGGAGTTCCCTTGGGGGCCACGGAGCGTGTGAAGCAAGGGCGCCCTCGAGGGCGCGAAGTTAATTCGTTCTTCGCGCTTCGCCTCCGATTCCTCCTCATCCTCCCCTTCCTCCCTGGGAGGCGGCGCGAGAGCGTGAACTTCTTCGCACTTCGCGCTGCGCGAAGCGCGAAGCTGGGAGCCCTTGATGCCACGAGGGCCTTCGGTAGAGCTCCCTACGGGGTCGCGGAGCGTGTGGTGGGTGTGTGCCGGCTGGGGTGGAGCGGACGCGTGGGGCCCTGCCACCGGGGCCTTCGGGGGACCACCATCTGGGGCGACGAGCCGTGTGAAGCAAGGGCGCCCTGGAGGGCGCGAAGTTGTTCGCGCTTCGCGGTCCGGCTCCGATCCTCTTCATCCTGCTCTTCTCCCCTGGGAGGCGGCGCGAGAGCGCGATGTTATTCGCACTTCGCGCTCTGCGCTGCGCGAAGCGCGAAGCTGGGAGCCCTTGTGAAGGGTGTGCCGACATGGGTCGGGCGGGCGCACGTGGACCCTGCCACTGGAGCGCTCGGTGGAGCTCCCTGTGGGGCCACGGAGCGCGTGATGGGTGTGCCGAGATGTGTCGGGCGGGCACAGGTTGACCCTCCCCATGGGGCCTTCGGTGGAGCTCCCCATGAGGCCACGAAGCGTGTGAAGGATGTGCCGAAGTCGGCCGAGCGGACGCATGCGGACCTTGCCGCTCGGGGTTGGACCTCCTTGTGGGGCCATGATGCGTGTGAGGGGAGTGCCCGACACTGGTCGGGAGGATGCATTTGGACCCTGCCACTGGGGCGTTCGGCGGAGCTCCCTGTGGGGCCACGAAGCGTGTGAGGGGTGTGCCGAAGTGGGTCGGGCGGGCGCATGGGGACCCTGCTGTTTGGGTCTTGGTTGTAGATACCTATGAGGCCACGAAGCTCGTGAGGCGTGCGCTGAAGTGGCTCGGGCGGACGCATGCGGACCCTGCCACTGGAGCCTTTTCGTGAAGCTTCCTATGGGGTCACGAAGCGTGTGATGGGTGGGCCGAAACGGTGATAGTGATGTGGGAGGAGGGAAGTGCGGAGAAGAGAAGAGGAGAGGAGGTGGCGCGGGGCGCTGTCTTCTGAGAACGATGACCAACCATCACTGCAGTTTTGGTGAAGACATAGCTACCCTGGCGAAGGACCCAACCATGTGCAGCTGTGAGTGTCGTCGTCGTGAGTATCCCCTTCGGTGGAGCTCCACATGCGGCCACGCGACGTCTGAGTGGTGCGCCGAAATTTGTGGTTTGGCCTACGGGGCCACGGAACGTGTGCGGGTGGGCTGACATTTGTGTGGCGGACGCATGTGGCCATATCCATTTGGGCCTTAGGTGGAGCTCTTCATGGGGCAACGACACGTGTGAAGGGTGTGCAGGCATCAGTGTGGCTGGGGCCTTAGGTGGAGTTCCCTATGGGGCCACGGAAGCGTGCGAGGGCCGTACCGAGGTGATTCTGGCGAACGCATGTAGCCACACCCACTGAAGCCTTCGGTGGATCTCCCGTTGTGGCCACGAAGCGTGAGAGGGGTGTGCCGAAATGAGTGTGGCGCACGCATGCGGACCCTGTCACTGGAGCCTTTGGTGGAGCTCCCTGTGGGGCCACGAAGCGTGTAAGGGATGTGCCGACATGAGTGTGGCGGACGCATGGGGCCGCAGCCACTGGGGCCTTCGGTGGGGATTCCTATGGGGCCACGAAGCGTGTGAGGGGTGTGCCGAAATGAGTGTGGCGGACGCATGTGGCCACGCCCACTGGGAACTTCGGTGGGTCGGGCGGACGCATGCGGACCCTGTCACTGGAGCCTTAGGTGGAGCTCCCTATGGGGCCATGAACCGAAATGAGTGTGGCGGACGCATGGGGCCGCAGCCACTGGGGCCTTAGGTGGAGCTCCCTATGGGGCCATGAAGCGTGTGAGGGGTGTGCCGAAACGAGTGTGGCGGACGCATGCGGACCCTGTCACTGGAGCCTTAGGTGGAGCTCCCTATGGGGCCACGAAGCGTGTGAGGGGTGTGCCGAAATGAGTGTGGCGGACGCATGGGGCCGCAGCCACTGGAGCCTTCGGTGGAGCTCCCTATGGGGCCACGAAGCGTGTGAGGGGTGTGCCGAAATGAGTGTGGCGGACGCATGGGGCCGCAGCCACTGGGGCCTTCGGTGGGGATTCCTATGGGGCCACGAAGCGTGTGAGGGGTGTGCCGAAATGAGTGTGGCGGACGCATGTGGCCACGCCCACTGGGAACTTAGGTGGGTCGGGCGGATGCATGCGGACCCTGTCACTGCAGCCTTAGGTGGAGCTCCCTATGGGGCCACGAACCGAAATGAGTGTGGCGGACGCATGGGGCCGCAGCCACTGGGGCCTTAGGTGGAGCTCCCTATGGGGCCATGAAGCGTGTGAGGGGTGTGCCGAAATGAGTGTGGCGGACGCATGCGGACCCTGTCACTGCTTAGGTGGAGCTCCCTATGGGGCCACGAAGCGTGTTAGGAGTGTGCCGAAATGAGTGTGGCGGACGCATGGGGCCGCAGCCACTGGGAACTTAGGTGGGGCCGTGTGAGGGTTGTGCCGAAATGAGTGTGGCGGACACATGTAGCCTCCACCCCCATTCGGGCCTTCGGTGGAGCTCCCTAAGAGTCCACGAAGCGTGTGACGGGTGTGCCGAAGTGGGTGTGATGACGACGGTGAGGATGGCGACGATGATGGTGGTGGTGTTTGGTGATGACATGCGGAGGGCAAGGACAGGGATGGGATGAGGGGGGATGAGGAGGAGGAGGAGGTGGAGGAGGAGGAGGAGGAGGAGGAGGAGGAGGAAGAGGAAGAGCAGCATGAGGAGGAGGAGGAGGAGGAGGAGGAGGAGGAGGAGGACGAGGAGGAGGAGGAGGTGGGACGCGGGGC